TCCAGCTTTCGCATCCATATGAGGTTATTGAAAATACCATGGTTTGGGTCAGGTATGGTATGGACTGCCAAAAGAACTGTGTTAGAAGAATTACAGCCAGAATGCTTGTTAGAAGCCAGAACGCTAGACTTTATCTCTCATTGTTGTTGTTGTTAAGTGCCATCGAGTCGGGTCCGACCCATAGCGACCCTGTACAGGGTTTCCGAGGGTGTAAATCTTTACGGGAGTAGAAAGCCTCATCTTTCTCCCGCGGAGCAGCTGGTAGTTTCGAACCGCTGACCTTAAGGTTCGCAGCCCGATTTGTAACCACTACGCTACCAGAGCTCTCATACTTTGGACTTATTATCAGGAGAGACCAGTCCCTGAAGAAGGACATTATGTTCGATAAAGCAGAGGATCAGCGACATAGAGGAAGACCCCAATGAGATGGATTAGCACAGTGGTAGTAACAATATGCTCAATTGCAACATCAATTGTGAGATTGGTGCAGAACTGGGGCAGTGTTTCATTCAGTGGCACATAATGTTGCTATGAGTCACTATCAATTTGATGGCACCTAACAACAAGGAGATCTGGTAGCGTAGTGGTTACGAATCAGACTGCTAACCTCAAGGTCAGCAGTTTGAAACTACCAGGTGTTCCACGGGAGAAAGATAAGGCTTTCTGCTCCTGTAAAGATTTACAGCCTCAGAAACCCTGTACAGGGTCACTGTGAGTCTCCGAGGCACATAACAATAACAACAACATTAATACAATGGGAGAGGGAGCTGAAGAGGCCCAAGAGCAGTGTGGTGGGAAGTATTCGGAGTCAGTTCCTTGAATCTTTCAGACTTCAATTTTAGTCTACAAATGGAATTTGATTGTTGTTGTTAAGTGCCATCGAATCGATTCAGAACCATAGCGACCCTGTATAGGGTTTCCAAGGAGCAGCTGGTGAGCTTAAACCACCGACCTTGTAGTTCAAACGGCTTTGCAGTCTGGCACATTAACCCACAGCGCCACACCAGGAATCTAATTAGAGGACAGTCATTTATCTCTTTTACTTTGATTTTATGAGAAAGGATGCCTTATTTTTCTAACAGCAGTTCTTAATTGCTCAGTGAAATCCTGTGTAAGTCCCTCACCTAGAAATTCTGATTGAATTGGTTTGGGGTGAGGCCTGCCTTACTAAAGATTGCCTGAGGAGAGTCTATGCAGAAAGCATAGTAACCAATAGGGCAAGTTATGCTTAATTTTTACCCCAAGGTGGTGGAATATTATTGTTCCTGCTAGAATTGCATATTTTTACGTCTATCAAGAATCAAGAAGTAACATGTACTATCTTAACAGCTAAGATATCATGTTTGTTGCTGCTGTTCTTGTTAAGTGCTATGATGTCACTTCCAACTCATAGTGAGCCTGCATAGGGTTTCTAAGGAGTGGCTGGTGGGTTTGTACTATGTGTAGCAAACACAGGAACAACCTCTGAGGTAGTATTCATACAATCCTCATTTTACAGAAAACAGCCACAGAGAGATTAAAAAAACTTTCCCAAGATTACGTAGTTAGTGGCCAAAGATGAAGAACCATCTATGTATATTCAAACCTCTGGGCAATTATTTCTCACCTAATCTAAGTAGGACTGACCACACTACTCACTAGAAACTCTTTCAGTTTTCTCTCTCTGCCTTTAAAAACCTTCAGAGTTAAGTTCATGTAGTTTTATTTAACACTTTCACTGTTGTTCTCTTAATTTATTAGTCACATGGGCTAAGTAACATGTCATTTAAATTACTATGTGCTCTAATCCAAAATCAATGTTACCCTTGTTGTGTTTAGGTGCCGTTGAGTCGGTTCCGACTCATGGCAACCCTGTGTAGGGTTTCTAGGCTTTAAATCTTCACAGCTCATCTTTCTTCCAGTATATCTATCCACAACGGTGCTTAAACTTGGTCAGAACGCATGGGGCCACTTACAGATGAACGAGCCTGTCTCAAGGGAACATTTTTCCTCAAGGTCAGGAGTATGTTCATCACTTCTGCAAACAATGGTTGATGATGTTTCTGCTTCTTTTGATGGACACTTTATAGGATCTGCCTCTGGCTACTCCCTGAAAAACTTGCTACCAGCTCCAGTTTGACTGTCAAATGACAGCTGGCTTTTTTTTTTTTTTTTTTAAGTTTTCTTAATTTAACTCCTTACATGAATTTTTTAATTTAGAAGGAAGGTGAACAAAAAGTCACAATTGGCATACTAATGTTCAGTGTGTAGGCATTTTAAAAAAAAATATAAAGATGAAAAGGGTAAATTTAGTTTAAGAAAGCAAGGTATTTACCATAGGTGGTGCTTAAATTTAGTTCTTTTCCTGTTTCTTCTGGTTTTGCTGGGGTTTCTAGTTCATTTTTAGCAGAGTTATATTTGTGCTTTTCATCATAATAATTTTCAAGTGTTTCTTGTTGAGTTACAGACGTTGTCATGGCTTCTTCTAGAAAAATGTCAGTTGCTTCAAGTGCTTCCAAATCATCAGCAAAGGTAGACATGTTAAACTGGCGTGTGGACAACCTGTAGAGAAACAATCAGTGTCAGACTTCCTAAGGCCTGAGAAATTTACCTTCCATTTGATGTTGCTGAACCACACCTTCAATAAGCTCTATTACTGCATCAGCTATTGTCTTGGGTTTGTGGAGGCTTTCTGGATAAATATCAGAATAATATGTTTAGCATTGTCATTAAAAAAAAAAAATAACAGAAGACCACACATTTGTGTGTGTGCATATGTTTATATGTCTCTGCACATACTTAATATAAGAGGTCTTCAAAAAGTTCAAGGAAAATTGAAACGAAAAGATAATGGAATTTTCCCACTAACTTTTTGAAGTTCCCTGGTATATCATATACAGAATTAAAAGCTCTGGAGGGCATGATACTCTATCCAGGGGATACTTGTGGGGCATGATATTAGACGATGGGTTGGTATTATGGAATGGGAATTTTCCATATTTTGCTTTTATAAACTTAGGTGTTCTTAAATAATTAGAAATGTTTAAGTAATATCCGTGTACTACTTTTTAACTAAAGAAAAAAGACTATACAGGATTATCAAACTAATGAGCATTTCAACTCCAGGAGTTTAGGTCAAGTCAATGACTGGCTTTGCCTGTGACCTTTCTTTAGGGACCATTTCCTGTAAAAGTTTTATCTAAGGTATGGCAGGCATGACACATGCCCTGGGCACCACCTGAGAAGGGGGAGCTATTGAGCAGTTTCTATGAACCATTACAGTGTCCCATCATCAGCTCTGAGAGATCAATCAGCAAGTTAAAATGAATACTTTCATATTTGAGACCATCCATGGGTCAAGGCAAAATGTATGGTCTCTCTCCACTGAATGTAGGAAGAGAAGAAACAAAATAAATTATTTTGAGCACATCACAGACGAATTTTCATCAGTGAAAGAAAGGAAGGTACACTTGTCATTCTCATGTAGTGGTGTCATAACGTGCTAAAAAAAAGGCTAATGAGCCAGAGTTGCATTTTTGAGCTGGTGTTATGGTCAAGTTATGTAAAAGATGGGAGTCAGATGTTAGGACAGGGGTGCAATTTCCCTGCATGCCATTGGCTGTATGTTGCGAAGGTAGGCTGCTGGTTTCTTGTCTGTGGGTGGGGCTGTGGAACAAGCTCAGCTCTGCCTTGAGCCTACCTCTCCATAGGCATGAGTGGCTGCAGCAGAGTGTCCCCACGATTGGGGCCCCCACATTCAACAGTGAGTTCTGGAGGTGGGTACTGGTTTGTTTCACCTAAAAATAAAATGAAATAAGGGATCAAAGCAGATTAAATAAGACAAAAATAATGTGAAACCAGAAATTAAATCAAATAAGCATGAATAAAACATTTTTAAAACCACACTATTCATTAAGGCTCAAAATTAACTGAAGCACAAAATATAAAGTCAAATTTCAATTAAACCAAACCAAAATAAAATAAAAGCATAAAATATTGATCATAATAGATAATTAAATAATATAAAATAAAAACCACAATATAAAAGAATGCTAAAAAATAGAACCTAACAACAAAACATACAGAAATTAAAATGAAGGTAAAACAGACTAAAAGAGTGATTCCTTATCCTGCTTCTCCCTCAAAGAATCATTAGCCAGTAGTCATTCCAATTATTCTCTCCACCACCCCCTGCAAAGATAAGGAAACCACAGTTCAGAGAGATTCACTGACTTTACTAGGGTAACCGCTAGTTAATGGCAGAGCTAGGACTAGAATAAATGTATAAATCTTTCCAGCTCTCAAATTGTTGTTGTTATTAGTTGCCATCAAGTAAGTTCCGATTCATAGTGACCACTACCCACTCCTGCATCAGCCTCACAATTATTATTACATTTGAGCCCATTGTTGCTGCAATTCATACTGAAAATGGTGGTCTTTGATATTCATCAGTAAATATATGATGTCCTCTTTGTTTCCAGCAAGAAAGGTTATATCATGTGCATATCGCAGGATTTATTAATGAATCTTCCTCCAGTTCTGATGCTATGTTTTTCTTCTAATATAATACAATCTTGGGTTATTTGCTCAACATACAGATTGAATAAATATGGTGAAAGAATACAACCCTGGCACAAAACTTTCTTGATTTAAAACCATTCAGTATCCCCTTGTTCTGTTCCAGTGACTGTCTGTTGGTCTCTATACAGATTCCTCATGAGTACAATTTGAATTGAATACCCATTCTTTGCAGTGTTATGCTTAGTTTGTCATGGTCCACACAGTCGAAAGCCTTTGCATAGTCAATAAAGCACAAGTAAACAGCTTTCTGATATTCTCTGCATTCAACCAAGATCCATGTCAGCAATGGTATCCATAGTTCCATGTCTTTTCTGAATCTGGCTTGAATTTATGGCAGTTCTCTGTCAATGTACTGTTGCAATCATTTTTTAATTATCTTAAGCAAAATTTTATTTGCTTGTGGTATTTATGATATTTTCCAGTGGTGTTCTGCATTCCATTGGGTCACTTCTCCTTGGAATGGGCACAAATATGGATTTTTTTCCAAATTAGCCAGGAGGCTGTCTTCCAAATTTCTTGGTGTAGATGAGTGAGTGCCTCTTGTGCTGCATTAGTTTGTTGAAAGATTTCAATCTGTATTCCATCAATTCCTGGAGCCTTGTCTTTCACCTTCAGTGCTGTTTGGACTTCTTCCTTCAATACAATCAGCTCTTGATCGTAAGCTACCTCTTGAGATGGTTGAATATCAACCATTTGTTTTGGGTACAGTGACTCTGTTTATGCCTTCCATCTTCTTTTGATGCTTTCTGCATTGTTCAATATTTTGCCAATGTTGTTGTTGTTGTTAGGTGTCAATAGAATCCTTCAATATCATAGCCAGAGGTTTGAATTTTTTCTTTAGCTTTTAAAATTGAGAAATGCTGAACCATGTTCTTTCCTTTTGGTATTCTAACTCCAGGACTTTGAAGATTTCATTATAATGCTTGATTTTGCCTTCTTGAGCTACCCTTTGAAATTTCTGTTTAGCTCTTTTACTGCTTCCTTTCTTCCATTCACTTTAGTTTCTCTGTACTCAAGAGCAAGTTTCAGAGTCTTTTCTGACACCCATTTTGGGTCTTTTCTTTCTTTCCTGTCTTTTACATGACCTTTTGCTTTCTTCCTTTGTGATGTTCTTGATGTCATCCCACAACTCTTCTTGTCTTCAGTCATTAGTGTCTAATGTATCAAATCTGTTCTTGAGATGGTCTCTAAATTCAGGTGTAATATATTCAAGTTCATTGGCTCTCTTGTTTTAATTTTCTTCAGCTTCAGCCTGAATTTGTGTATTTGAAGGCTGTAATTCTCATTTTGTTATTGTTGTTGAGTGTGTTGAGTTGGTTCCGACTCATAGCGACCTTGTATAGGGTTTCCAATGAGTGACTGGTAGGTTTGAACCACTAACCTTGCAGTTAACAGCCCACTGTTTATCTTACAGCACCACAGCAGGACTATGATTCTCATTTTAATACAGGAGACTTGTGATCAGATGAGAGGTTCAGGAAAAGAAATCATAAAGAGGCCAAGTAAAGTTAAGGAAGGTTTTTCAAGAAATGTGGATGTTGCCTGAGCTCACTGTAGGCTGAGGGGCTGCGCACACCTCATAAAAGGTGGAGGTGCAATGGGCATCTGCCTGCAGGCCAGGTTGTAAGTTCCTCCTTTACCCCACCCTATCACCCCCAGTTTTCTGGGGCCACTTACTGTTTAGGAGGCTGAAAAAGGCTCTTGTGAATCTCAGAGCATAGGCCACCTCTAAGTCTGAGACGCCTTCTAGGTGAAGCAGGTGCTGCTCAGAGGGGGTGCTGGCCACGCGGTTTAGCTCAGCCAGCTCGAAGGGCCCCACATTCAGACCTATGACCAGCACAAATAGAGCAACACCCTTGCACTTGGCTTCCAGGGACAAAGTCCTCAGCTTCTCCCGGTCCCAGTCGCTGGTCTCGCTGGCCACAATGGCAAACAAGACCCGAGCTTTCCGTGGTAGTGGAGCTGCCAGAAGCATCCTCTCCAAAGTCCACTCGAGGGCGTGGCCTAGGGCGGGGGCTCCCTGAGGAGGACGGCCCGCGGCCTCATTTACACGCTGCTGCATCTGAGCACTGTGACCATAGGAGGTTAGATGGAAGCTCTCCATCACTGGGGGTCTCCCCGAGCCGGGCCTGAAGCCAGGAGTCGTGTATGTCACCAGGGCTGCTCGCGCCCCGCGGTGGGACGCATCTGGCTGTGCGGCCACCTCCAGGTCGTCTAGCACTGCCGCCACCAGGTTCAAGGCCCCGAGGTAAGAGTCCGCGCTGGCGCTGTGGGAGCCGTCTACCACGAATGCCACGTCCACATCCACCTCCAAGGGCCTGGACACAATCCGCTCACAGTTCGGGTGGGGCCGGCACTTGTCTACGGAGGAAGCACAGGGAGAGGCCGGGATTAGCCCACTCAGCTTTCATCTCCAAGCAAAACACGTTTCCTGACCCTTACTAAGGATAACTGCAGCTGAATGCTGCCAGGCAGTGTACTGACTTAACAAGCCAATGCGCACTAAGAATAAATGTGTCCATTTTTCAGAAGGAATAATTGAGACTGATTCCACATTTGATGTTTTTAATCACTAGACCATGTGACTTCCTAATTTTCAGGTCCACTGACTACCATTCCATAGAAGAAGAGTTTTAGATGAATTGTTTATTACGTAAATGTATCAACAGCAGGGAATGCTTAGTGAACCGTAAAAACGTCGATTGCTAGAGCTGGGATCAAAAAACGATGAAAAAAATCCAGCATTTCCTTCCAAAATTCATAAAGGCAACAAACCACTATAGCAATAGCAGTCCATGTGACTCTTAACTCTCCAATCGAAATCATGGCTATTCCCATATCATGTTACAGTTTTGCATATAGCTCAGTATTGTTTAGACTCATCACTGCTTTAAAGTGATAATGGATGTAGCATGTTATCAAAGAAGCATCTATTTTACTAAATCAAAAAATTTAAATATTTACATATTTTCAATGTAGTTGTTTTCCTTTGTAACTCTCTGTATTTCATTACTATTATTCTGAGGAGGCTCTAGTTTTAAACCAGATGCCAAAGGGGTCTATGGTACAAAAAGGTTTTAAAAGAAACAACCCTGAGTTAGAGTGTTAGCACAGTATAGACGTTGAAGTCAAAAAGTTCTGTATCAGACAACAACTACGTATATAGCCACACTAGAAGTTCATTATAGATATATATAGATCTAGAGCTAGAGGTATTGTTATTGTTATATGCTGTCCAGTCTATGCTGAGGAGCAAATGGTGGATTTGAACTGTGGACTGTTGGTTCACAGTCCAGTTCTGATCCTATAGCACCACACCAGGAGTTCATTGCTGGACCAATGAACAATATCATGATAAAGGGAGGGAAAACTGAAGTTGTCAAAAACATCCTTTTGTTTGGATCCACAGCACTCATTCAAACATACTGCCTTAGGCAAATCTGATGCATAAGATATTTTTTAAAGTTTTAAAGTGTCACTTTGAGAACTAAGGTACACGTGACTCAAGCTTTGGTGTTTTTCAATCACATCATATGCGTGTGAAAGTTGGATCATGAATAAGGAAGACCATAGAAGAATCAATGCACTTGAATCATGGTATTAGTGAAAAATATTAAAAGTACCATGGACTGCTACAAGAACAAACAAATCAGTCTTGGCAAACATATAGCCAGAGTGCTTTTTAGAAGGGAGAGTGGAAGTCTTTGTCTCTCGTACTTTGGACATACAGTCAGGAGGAACCAGTCTCTTAAGACGGACATCATGCTTGGTAAAGTGGAGGGTTAGCGAATAAAGAGGAAGACCTTCAAGGAGATGGATTCACAAAGTGGCAGCAACAGTGGACTCAAGCATAACAACAAATGTGAGGATGGCACAGGGCCCAACAGTATTTTAGTCTGTAGGGTCCCTGTGAATTGGAGCCTGTACTTAACAACAACAGAGCTCTGTAGCCAGAATGCCTGGTTCAAATCTAGGTTCTACCTTGTACTATGGAAGTCTCTGGGTGGCATAAATAGCTTGTCTCGGACTACCTTGAGGAACACGGTGGCTCCATAGGATAAGCACTGGACTGCAAGTCACAAGCCAGCCACTCCATGGGAGAGAAAGATAAGGCTTTCTGCTCCCTCAAAGATTTACAGCCTCAGAAACCCTATAGAGGGTGGCTATGAGTCAGAGCCAATCCAACTACACTTAAGAACAACAACAAACTATCTTGGGTCAATTACATAGCCTTCCTAATGTGTAAGTTTCCTCATTTCTCAGGTGGAGATGATGCTAGTAATAGTATCTGTCTTAGGAAGTTATTTGTGAAGTTGAAATGAAAATGAGGTAAATATATTTCAGTGCTCAGCATAATGTCTGCACATAGTAAGAGTTCAGTAAGCATCAACAGAGGAAGTTGAAGTTCAGAGAGGTGATGTGTCAAATGAGATGATGGATATGAAAGCAGTTCATGAATTATACTTTACAAATAACAGTTACTGTATTTGACTTGACCGCATTCTCAGAGCCAACTAACACTCTCATAGTAGTGCAAGGTGAATCAAGAGGGAAAATTAAATCCTCCTTCAAGTTCACCTTCCAGGCTCACTCAGGCTCAGGGTGAAGTAGATATGGGTGGGTTTCAATGGAACGCTTTTTCTCTGGCACAAGTGTGGGCTGTGGGATAAAACAACGGGTCTAGGGACCTAGAGACATTGAATGTCTGACCAACATCCCACTGCCAGTCAATGGAAACTCCAGATCTAGAACCCAATACTCTTGACTCTTAATTCAGTGCTCTGCCCTCCAAACTAAGATGCTACTAAGGCAAGAACCACAAGTCAGCTATCTACAAGTACCTGGTAGGACAGATTGTGAGCAGAGCAGATGAGGGCTAAGGTGAGAAGAAGGGGTAGGGGAACTGTAGGCTCATTCCCATGTGGTCACATGGGAATGCAATGTCTGGTTCTCAAGACAATTCTGAGTTTCTAAGAGAAATTAGAAATGTAAACTCAGTATAGATTTCCTAGATTTTAAAATTGTACATGCCAAGTAAATGCACATCTGAGTGCAGATCTGGCCTGTGATCAATTTATTCCCCTTGTTATAAAGGCACCCACCAGACCAGAGATGCTGCCCAAGCTTACCGTAACAGAGAGTGCAATGGGTCATATACTCCACGTCCTGCTGCTCCTCAGTCTCCCAGATGAACAGGTGGAATCTGTTGGTCACATCCCTCTAATCCAAACACACACACATCCGTTTCTCATTAATGTTTAATTATATATACATGTGTGTGTATTGTATGTGTATATTAAGGATCCCTGGTAGCTGCTAACTACAAGGTCAGTAGTCATTCAAAAATAACAGGTGCTAGCAGGAGAAAGATGAGGCTTTCTGTTTCGTAAAGATTTGCAGCATCTTAAACCCTATACAGGGTTACTATGAGTTGGAACTGACTCTGCAGTACACAACCACCACCGCCATATATATGTTAAGTGCCATTGAGTCAGTTCTGAATCATAATGACCCTGTATAGGATTTCCATAGAGTGACTGGTGAGTTTGAACTGCCGACCTTGCCGTCGAGTGCTTATCCTGCAGCACCACACCATATATATATGTGTATGTGTGTGTGTGTGTGTGCGTTGTGTATAACCCCTTCTCCTATACCCACCTGACACATCACTAGCTGAGTTTTGCACACATTGGGAATCAGAGGGTCCACAGTTTTTAGTTATTTGGAGTTTGGACTATCATTGGTATAGGTATATGAGCTATGGATCTTCTGATTTCCAATGACTTGTCAGGTGGAGATAGAAGGGGATAACAGGCAAAATTCAATAACATTAATTCCATAAATCTTTATTGTTTTCCATAATATAGAGATGCAGTATGATAGAGGTTATAAACATGACTAGGTAACTCCTTCAAGGAGGTGGTCATGTAAGTCGCATACTACTAGATTGGAAAGAGGTAGATACCATAAGAGAGGCCCTTCTAAAGTATTCCTGGTATTTAGAGCCAAGACATATCACAACCAGAGTGCAAGAAAGAGGAATAATCAGGAAAGGCTTTGTGAAGGTGGCACATCTGTTTATCTCCTTCCTTCCTATAGATTGGCCAAACCAAATGAACCTTTCCAATTAGAATTACCTAATAACTGACATAAAAGACTTAAAAGGAAAATATTAAATAATAATAAATCTAGCCACAGGTACCATATAACAAACGGTAAGCAAACCATTTCCTCTTCTTCCAGAGACACAAGTTGGCCACATTTCCCAGTCTCCCTTGTAGTTAGGTGGGACCAAGTAAATGGGATCCAGCCAATGGAATATAGGTAGAAGTGATGTACGCCAATCTCAGTGCATGTAAGCAAACCATTTCCTCTTCTTTTAGAGAAACAAGTTGGCCACATTTCCCAGTCTGGTGGGTTTGAACTGCCAACCTTGCAGTTAGGAGTCCAGCGCTTATCCTATAGCATCACCAGGGATCCTGTCTATGACAAAAGCAGCCTTTAACTACTCTCTTTCCTGAGTTAGAAATGTACAGCACCAAGATCGACCAAACAGCTACAACATAAAAATCGTGGCAAGCCCAGTGGAGATACAAAGATGACATGGCCACAACCTGAAAGCACTTAAAACATAAGTGGAAGTAAAAACTAATGCCTTTCAAGTAAAATAGAGGTCCAATGATGTGTTTTAGAAACACACAAAGAGGGGATTCATGTCAAGGTGCCAAAGGGAGAAAGGGGAGCTGATGCCAATAATGGTATCTCATCTGGCACTTTGAAAAGAATGAGTAGGATACTAACAGGCAAAGAAGCAGGAAAACATATTTCAGGGTGGAAGAACAGTACGTCTGAAGGTCCAAAAGTGAACAGTGGTTATCTCAAGAGTTCTGCCCGGTGTCTCCACACCCCCTCAAACTGGAAAACACCGACCTCCAATGTGTAGCCACAAATCACATCTGGAGTGCTGGAACTCCTTCCCAGAGGGGGAGGCTGACATGAAGAGTGAATGCAGAGTTTCCAACATTCAACATTCAAACCTACTCCACATGACCATCAGATCTGGGTATTGGCCAAACCAAATAGATGTAATTTATCACCAAGGAGTGGGGAAAACAGTATAGGCAGGGATAGGACAAATGCTCAGCTTTACTGGAAACCACACAAAGCAATTTAGAAGACTTTCAAATCAGGATTCACTGTAGTGTTCTAGGAGATATGCAGAGACCAGGATAACTTTAACCAGCAACCAACCCATTGATCTCTAGGTGATTCCAACTCATGGCCATGCCTTGAGTGTCTCAGTAAACCTGTGCTCCACAGGGCTTTCAGTGGCTAATTTTGCAGAAGCAGACCACCAAATTTTTCTTCTGAGGTGTCTCTGATTGCTAACCAACCTTTTGGTTAGCGGCCAAGTGCTTAACCATTTGTATCACCCAGGAACTCCAAGATACAACTCTGTTGTTGTTGTTGTGTGCTGTTGAGTCAATTCCTACTCAACAGTCCTATGTTGTTGTTGTTAAGTGCCATCAAGTCAGTTCTGGCTCATAATGACCCTGTATAAGGTATCCAAGAAGTAGGTGATGAGCTTGGACCACCAACCTTGTGGTTCAAACCAACTTTGCAGTCCAGTGCATTAGCCCATAGTGCCACACAGAGTAGAACTGCTTTATAGGGTTTCCTAGGTTGTAACAGCCACTCATTAGAAACCCTATACAGGGTCACTATGAATCAGAACTGACTTGATGGCACTTAATAACAACAACCTTTATGGAAAAGTTAGCAGCCAAGCATTTAATCATTGTGCCACCAGAACTTTTTGGAATAACTCTAGGGACATTGATTCTGTCCAAAGAGTTTTGAGAAAATGCTGTTAGGTTACACTGTTTTTAGATTATAGAACAATGGGTGAAGTCTGTTACAAAACACAGAGTTTGCATGAGTTTTTAAGACAATATGGAAACAGATTCAAACATGGCCCCATATTTGTATAAATTCATACTCGTCTGTCTTAGGAATAGTTCAAGGGTAGGAGTCCAGAATCTGGAATCTAGGCTGTGCTCTGTCATAACTGGCTTTGTGTTTGGGCCTCAGTTGTATAAATTCAACTCGGTTTGAGGATAGGGGTCAATGTCACTAACACAGCTATCCTTACTGTCTTCTGTGTTTGCTTTTACTCAAAGCATTGTTATCTTTTCTACTGGGAACAGTTTAGAACATTGAACTCTACAATCTGTTGTTCTTATACAAAGTTGCCAAATTCAACAGGATTTCAATAACTACAGAATTTGCATCTTTAAAAAAAACTTTTCTTGTTGTTGCTATTAAGTGCCATGGAGTTAGTTCCAACTCATACTGATTCATTTCCTAGGAACGACTGGTGATTTGAACCGCCGACCTTGTGGTTAATAGTTCGGGGCTATCTTATAGCACCATACCAGGATTCCTAAACTTTTCTTAAGAACAATTTTTTTATCCTGTTTAAATTTTTTTACTGTTCTTGGGAATGGGGGGAGGGGGGAAGAAGGCAGCAATAAGTACACAGAAACACAGTGGTGTTCCATGGGGAAGATTCCATACTTAGTTGGTAATAATGATTATTTCATTACTTTGGACTTTGGGCTTGCCATCATGGTACCTGTCACTGATAAGGCAGATGAGATGAACCCTGCAAAAACTCAAGCAAGGAGATAGGGTGGGAGGGAACCCCAGTGCGAGGAGAGGAGAAAACCATTGCAAAATTCCTACTGCAAGTTCCCATCAGCACTAGAGAAGAAGGAACTCTCAAAAAAAACCATACCTTCTACACAAACCACATGATCCACTTGAGGCTAAAAGTGCTAAGATCGTTTGAATTGGCACTTTTGATTATTCTCTTAACCAACTTCATTCCTGCATCTTCAGTTGTAGTTTGTTTGGACTAGTTGTATACTTAACACAGGAGTCCGGGTGGGGAGAGGGTTTGCATTAATATCCTCTTTTATTTAATAAACAGGAGCATATTTTCCTAAGGGCTGCAGAGCAGTTCTCAGAAGCCCCAGTTCCCAATATTAAGAAACTCCTATGAGCCCCTGACCTTGAGAGTCTCACAGCATTAGATTCAGTGCCTCAGCTGTTACACTAAGCTGTCAGAGGTCATAGTACAATGTTCCTTCCTGGGAATGAGTTGAGGGAAACTCTTGGCTTGAACAAAAGGGAGAGAGAAGGCAAGTACATATTAGGGAGGAGGCTTCACTTTGTATGAAGGAAGAGTTAACTGGAGCCTAAGAAGGAAGCATTAGAAATGATCTGCATCAAGTTGAGATCAAAGGTTTGGGAACTGGAAAAAGCAGAGCAAGGAGACAGAGGAAGAGAATAGTACATGCTGAGTTCAGTTTTGGTTCCTGACAGTGTGCCTCTGAACTGCCAGGAAGGAGTTAACTCGTTCTGGACTTCCACCAGAGGCCAACATTGGGTTGAAGGTGTTGAGTGGAAGAGTAGATTTAGGAACAAACAGTTGTTGTTGTTGTTAGTTACCTTTGAGTTTATTACAACTTGAGCAATTCTACTCTGACTGAGTACACGGGAATGCCATGAGCAACTACTCATATTAGAGTGCACATTCAAGAACTAGGTAGTTTCGAATAAGTCATTTCACCTCTGACCTTCACTTAATTCATCTGGGGATGTAGATTATATGAAGATTATTAGAGCAATACTTTTTGCATTTAAACATGTATGCACATCATCTGGGGACCTTATTTTAAATGCATATTCTGATTGATTAGATCTGAGGTGGCGCTTAACAATGCCATTTTGCACAAGATTCTGGGTGATACTGATGTTGCTGGTCCCTGACAGCACTTGGATTAGTCAGAGGTTAAAATCACAAGTCATGAAAATCATGTGCTGGAACATCATAGATGCTCTCTAAATAGAAGCTATTTAATTTAATCAATTGTTGTTGGGCAAAGGGCATTCATGAGAAGATGCTAGTAATAATGGTCTACATAGGTATATATGTAGAGAGTATCGGATGTCCCTGTAGCCACTATCTCATGTTTTCCACAACACATCTGTAAATTTATCCCCATTTTACAGGTGAATAAATTGAGGCTCCAGTACCAAATAATATGCTCAGATAAATGACAAAGCCAGGGTTTGAAATTTCATCTGCCTTATTTCTTCCCTGGGTTGCCAATCCTGGTTTCAGAGAATTAACAAACAGTGAAGAACACATCACTAGGTCAGCTATGACATCTGCCAGGGCCTTTCCGGATAACCCAATACTTCCTTCCTGCAAAAAGGAGTATCCTATTGCAACTTTTCTGAATTCTGAAATTATACTAATATTAAAAGTTACCCCCCAAATGTTTTTGACTTTCTTGTTTTTTGTTTTTGCTTTACCTTTTAAAGATGTTTCGTTTGCTTGCTTGTTTTCCCTTTGCATCTCATATGACATCACATTCCATTCCTTGAGTTTTGTGCTTGTTGTTTTAAAGAGGAATATGCAGGATTCCTTGTGTGGCACTGTGGGTTAATGTGCTGGACTGAAAAGTTTGTTTGAACTGCAAGATCAGTGGTTCAAGCTCATCAGCCACTCATTGGAAGCCCTGTACAGGGTTGCTATAGGTTGGAACCAACTCGGCAGCACTTAACAGCAACAACACAGGAACAGAAATAAAGCCAACTCACAGACTTGTCTCGTAGTGCTATTGTAAAGATTTAATGAGTTAATACATGGAAAAAGCTTACAACTTCAGAAATCCTTTTAATTCCTGCTTTTAACTTTTGAGCTTAAACTTCCATTGATAATGGGGATTGTAGATCTTGAGCAAATCATTTTAAGTTCTCTGTCTCAGTTTCTTCATCTTTAAAACAAGGCTCATAAAAGTCCCTCTTTCTTTGGGTTATGAAGATTATGAAACAATAGGTGGGAATATTTGAAACAGTGCTGGATCAACAAACTGAAGAACCATATGGTAGACTTTTTTATTTTAAAAAAAAAGTAAAACCTGGCACACAAAAAAATGGTATTTTCCCTCTAATTCTTTCCTTTTTTTAGCATTAAAAAAGCATTAGGGTAGGCAGTCAAAGTCTTGTTTTAAGGCACAAGGCAGTTAGGCAGTTTTCAATTAAGTTTAAGCACAGATAGTGTTAACACTGTAACACACAGTTCATTAAGGATTAAGATGATTCAGTGGATGGCTTACAAATATTTTCAACATGTACAGCAGCTTCTATGTGTGTTTAAATGAACCGAAAAGTTAGGGCATGTGTTTATATAATCATATCAAACTGAACAACAACCATTTTCCCAAAAGAAGTATGTGGGCGTTGTTGTGAAAAATAAAATAGCATAGAAATGAAAGGCGAAAGTGCCATACATAGTCAAAAGGAGCCTTCAGGCAGAGAACGGAGAAGAAAAATCTCAAGTGTTCCCACACCCCTAACTGGATTCCCCTAAGGATACAGCAGAGAGATAGGGGAGGTGAAAGGCTGCAACATACTCAATGATGAGGAAATATGGATTTTTCTCAAAGGCCTTGAAAGCGAATTGTCATTTTATGGTTTCTTTCCCTACCAGTGTCACCATAAATTAGGCCATCCATTACTTTTGATTTGCCAAGTGCTATTTAACATCCTTTCTAAATTGTTAAATTTAAAGAACATGACCCTAGCATCCTGGGGCAAGAATATGTCCAAGAAATGGAGAGAAAAGTAGACATGAATGACAGAACAAAGGACCAACTATACTCAAGCTGGCAAGTAATTTTCACTTATGATTGTATTCTTTTACTAGGAAACTAAAACAACGAAGAGAGCAATAACATTGTGACAAGAAACATATCTGCATCAAGTCCAAACTCTGCTCAGGATTCCCTCTCATAGAATGGCACTGATGAACATTTGGGGGGAATGCAACTTATCCTAGGAGTCCCTGAGTGATATACAGTTAACATGTTCCACTGCTAACAGGAGAGCTGGAGGTTCAAATCCACCCAGAGGCACCTCAGAAGAAGATCTGGTGATCTACTTCTGAGAAATCAGCCATGGAAAACTTTTTGGAGCACAGTTCTACTCTGACACACAAGCGGTCACCATGAGTCAGAGCTGACTCAACAGCAACTGAATACTTGTCTTTTTACCTGGAAATCACTTCTCAAATGAGAAATAGATGCCTTGATCATTGGACTTGGAAGGAAACCTAGATAGCATGTCTCCATTTTAGAGTAAAATTAGGTCCAGAAAAGTGAAGAGACCCAGGAATACCCCTAATTACTGGAGAAAGAGTCTAAGCCAAATGCTGTGTCTCTAATTTAACTTCTTTGTACCAGGTGCTGGTGAGTAGATTCTGTCAAGGTGGCCTGATGTGTTTACAGAGAAGAAGTGCTCCAAGGGGGGTTTGTGGAGTCCTGCAGGATAATGTACTGGACACCAAGGTCAGTTTGAGCAGCAAGGTCGGCAGTTCAAACCTACCATCTGTTCCTCAGAAACCTTATACAGGGTTGCTATGAGTCAGAACTGACTTGATTGCATTTATCAACAACAACAATCTACAGAAACAAAACATCAGGACTTTCTCCCATGGTGCTGCTGGGTGGGTTCTAACCACCAACCTTTAGGTTAACAGACTAATACGAACCATTTGAGCCGCCTAAAGATCTATTTGTACTGTCCTTAGCCATCCTTTAAAGAAGTTGTTGAGACCTATCCTTTCCCATTTGCCTGTTCAAGCATCCTTCAAGCCAAGGATTACCAGTGAACAAGGAACCCTTCCTCTGCATTTTTTACTTTATTTCTCAGATCCCAGGATATTTTGTCCATCTTGCCCAAGTGTGGGAGACATCCTAACTTTACCTATCAATTCTTAGGAACATACCCACCCCCATACCAACAATCTCTCCTCCACTTCTGTTGCACACACTACTTACAGGGAAAATTGAATGGTCTGAAGCAGATGAATCCATTAGTTATTAGGCTGAACGCTATGACATTTCCATTTTTACAGGTCAAAATCAGTTGACCACTGGCAATATTACATGGCTCAACCTAACATTCATGAACAGCCTGGAATCTCTTAATCATCACCCTTCATTTGATTAACTATCTCAGATGTTCTACAAGGATATGTTGCACAAGTTTCAATTAGAAAACTACATCTGCAGAGTAGATCAATAAATTGTGGTGTACATGCTAAATCCACGGGGACTTGTATCCTGAATCCATCATCTATCTCTACTCTCACCACTGGCTCCTTGTGAATCTTTCCCAAACAACTTAAGACAGGCTGGAATACTACAGAACAAAAAAGAACAAACTACCGATGGACACACATGGATAAACAAGGAGAACAGATATTATGGTGAAGGAAAGAAGCCAGATAGAAAGGAGTACACGCTGTATGCTCCACTTTATATGAAGGTTAAGAATAGGCAAACTATTTTATTGTGATGGAAATAGGAAATGCTGGGAGTGTCCTATATTTTGAACCATTTCTCGGTTATAGGGTGTATACATATATAAAAAGGAGCTCTGGTAGTGTAGTGGTTATGAATCAGGCTGCTAACCTCAAACTCAGCAGTTCGAAACTACTAGCTGTTTCACAGGAGAAAGATGAGGCTTTCTGCTCCCGTAAAGATTTACAGTCTCAGAAACCCTATACAGGGTCACCATGACTCCACGGCACAACACCACCACCACATATATATTTAAAAAGCCATCCATCTAGACACTTGAGAGTAGTGTACTTTACCTAGTTTGTTACATGGGTATGTAGATTACAACCCAATTTTAAAAAAGAAACTTGCAACAATGATACAATTATCCCAAGGATATGGTTTAGCACAGTGGTGAAGCGTAGGCTCTGAATGTGGTGACAATATCAATCTGCCTCTAACTGGATATTTGACCTTCAATGATATATGAGTTTAATCTTACTAAACCTCAATTTTTCTTTTCCTTGAAGCAGAGATAAACAGTAACATCTTCCTTATAGGGTGGTTAAGAGACTAAAATAATATTTATTAGCATATGTTGTTGTTTTTAAGTGCCACCAAGTCAGTTCTGACTCATAGCAACCCTATGTAGAGTTTCCGAGGAGTGGCTGGTGCGCTTGAACCAGCAACCTGGTGGTTCAAATCGGCCTTGCAGTCCAGTGCATTAACTCACAGTGCCACACCAGGACTCCATTATAAGCATATGTTGTGCTGTTGTTCAGTGCCATAGAGTCGGTTCTGACCCATAGTGACCCTATATAGGGTTTCCAAAGAGTAGCTGGTAGGTTTTGAACTGTCAACCTTGTGGTTGCAAGTCCAGTGCTGATCCTACAGAGCCACACCAGGAGTCCTTTGTAAGCATACAGCACAGAATAAACCTCCAGATGCCACCTCTACCCCTCATGCATACATATCAATTTCTGAGGAATTCTTCTCCTGAACAACTCTTATTCCTCATATGTTCCTTGATGAAGGGATAATAAAAAGAAAAACAAAAGGTCATTTGTTGTCAAGTGGACTTTGACTCAAGATGACCCATGTGTGCCAGAGATGAACTGTGCTCTCTAGGGTTTTCAATGGCTAATTGTTAAGACGTTTATCACCAGGCCTTTCTTCTAAGGCGCATCTGGGTGGATTCAAACCTCCAACCTTTGCGTTAGAAGCTGACAGTGTTCACTGTTTGCTCCATCCAGGGAACAAGGCATAAGAAAAGCAAAATCCACTGCAATCAAGTCAATTCTGCTCCATAGCAACCCTATGAGGGGAGAGCAGAACTGCTCCTTAAGGTTTCTGAAACTAAATCTTTAGGGAGCAGACAACCTCATATATCTTCTCTGCAGATGAATTGGTGGGTTTGAACCATGGACTTTGAGGTTAGCAGTCCAAATGCTTAACCCACTGCAATGCTCAGACTCCTTACGGGTAAGAAGTAAGTGCTGATATCCTGGCAGATCCACCCACCGTTGAGTCCCCCAGCTTACCAGCAAGGCATCCGGGAGGTTGTGCTCCTTTGTAAATGTGATGATCACAGGAACGATGTCCAGTGCACTGAGTTCCAGTGTGGCCGTGTTAATGGAAGCTGCATCATAGGTCCAGCCAGCCTCAAAGAATACAGCCACTTTTCTCAGGAGAAGACCTGAGCGCACACGTTTGAAGACATGTCTCCCCACAAACCTCATGGTGGCCCCAAGGTTCCGGCGGCCAGATGACCGTTGCAGAGGGATTTTCCTAACAGTCTGCAGGAGGTCAGTCTTCCCCTTGTAGTCTGAGAAGCGAACCAGGTAATCTGTTTCAGCATTGTATGAAACAATGGCCACTCGGGCACCCGTTGGGCAGTTACTCTCACTTATTTCTATCTTCATCAACAGAGATAATAAAATGCCTCTGATCCTCTCAAAATCCAACTGGGAGACATCATTTGACATGTCCAAAGCAAAGACCACTTCAGTTGGGAATGCCGGGCATTTGGAAACACCTTGGCACAATGAAAACATAAGATTTAGGAATTTCTGTAGATCCTTTAAACCGGTGAGGATTTAAGTAAATGAGGAATATTTACCTGTTGAACAAGCTGGAAGGTGAATTATTTAGGAGAGAAAAAAACAAAACATTATTAGTTTACTTAAGCAGGGTATCTATTCTATATTGAGCACTTCAATATAAAAAACTATCTCCTTTGAGAAATCCAAGCAGTAACCTTCTGAGACTCCTGCTTAAATGTGGCAGAGTTCTCCAGTTGGTCCCATATCCATTTCTTTTTTTTTTTTATATATAATGTTGTCGTTATAAGGTGCCGTCGAGTCAGTACCAACACATAGCAACCATGTATAGGGTTTCGGAGGAGTGGCTGGTGAACTTAAACCACCTTGCAATTCAAACCAACCTTGTAGCCCAGCATATTGACCCACAGCGCCCCAACAGTACCTCATTTTTCTGGTTGGGCATGTGACTGTCTGACTTAAAGACTACATTTCCAAGTGGGGTAGCCCTTTTACTAAGTTCTGTCCATCTGGATAAGTAAAATGGTAGGTGTAACATCCAAAAAGTGTTCTTCTGTTTAACTTTCCTTTTCCTGATGGCTAAAATGTAGACATAATAGCTGAAGCTTCAGCAGCCATCTTGGGTCATGAGGTGATTCAGGTAAACGAACGCCTTTCCCTCAGTGGCAACGTAAGAAAATCTAATAAACTTTAATTCCTGAACAACATGGAATCCATGGTTAATTATTTCTAGGCTTTGATTTGATAAATACATTTGTATCATTATTACTCACTATGAGTCAGAATGGGGATGTTGCAAGATGGCAGATTGGGTGGAAGTACAGTAAGAGTTCTGCCAACAACAACACAGAATACCCGACCAAGCAGGCTCAGGGGATGGTCCCAGAAGTCTGAACCAAATATAAAGGAATATTTAGAAGGTGGGAAAATTGGAAGTTGTCAAAAATTTAATGGAACACATCAACATTGATATCTTAGGCATTAGTGAGCTGAAATGGACTGGTATTGGCCATTTTGAATCTGACAACCTCATGGTTTACTATGCAGGGAATGACAAATTGAAAAGGAATGGTGTTGCATTCATCATCAAAAAGAACATATCCAGTTCAGTCATGAGGTACAATGCTATAAGGTACAATGCTATAGGATAATATCCATGCGCCTACAGGGAAGCCCAGTTAATACCACTATTATTCAAATTTATGCACCAACGACTAAAGCCAGTGAAGATGAAATAGAAGAATTCTACCAACTTCTTCAATCTGAAATCGATCAAACATGCAATCAAGATGTATTGGTCATTACTGATGATTGGAATGCAAAGGTTGGGAGCAAAGAGGAAGGACCAGTAGTTGGAAATTTTGGACTTGGTGATAGAAATGATGCTAGAGAACGAATGATAGATTTCTGCATGACAAATGATTTGTTTATTTCAAATACCTTCTTTAGACAGCATAAGAAGCGACTATACACATGGACCTCGCCAGATGGAACACATAGAAATCAAATTGACTATATCTGTGGAAAGA